ACGTGTCCTACTAGTAGTCCATCTAGACGTTCTTTCCCAATACAATGAAAAGAGATATTTGCTCCTGTTGCACGTCCACTGCCAATGTATAGCTGTCCGAGCTTACGATACTTCGTGTTGCCACTGGACATGATGCCTTCAATACCAACAAGACGACGACCCACTTTTGCAATGAGGGGTGCGAGCCAACTTTCGAGGCCGCCGCGCGCTTCTTCGACGCTCGTTTGGTCGTATCGGTGGATGTCGCAAGGGACCTCAGTCAGGTTGTGGCTGGGACGGAGTGTAACCAACCGGTATAAATGCAAATATGTAAACAATACAAGATTTCCTTGTTTCAAATTGTCTAGTATATCGCAACCATGCGCATACCTTTTCTCTCCATCCGCAGGATTATAGCAGTCGCATCCAGGGATGGTGAATATGGGCCATTTTCGTAATGAGTGAATACGTATTCACTCATGACTCAAAATTTATACATGGAGTATACTCACTACTCTGAGTGTACTCAGAGCCTACTCAGAGCCTACTCAACGCTACAATGCTTGCACTTCTTGGCCGGCGCTTGCGTGGGAGCCGCCGCCGCCGCTGACCCAAGTGTTCCAGCGATGTTGATACCCGACTCAGTCAAGGTCGGAAAAGTTGACGAGCGTCGCGGCGGCTTGCGAGGGCATCAGTCAGCGTGCGGTTGTCGATCTCGGACCGAATGAATTCCTTGTTGAAGGACAGCACAAGTAGCATCTCGAACGTGACGTCGCCGAGGTTCTGGAGAAACGGCGAGTCGGTCAGTTTTGCAAAGCGAGAAGACACGCTCCTGAAGAGAACTCGTGCGAGAGGTATTCCTCGCGTAGAGGGCAACGACACAATCGTTATTGTGATCAAGCGCCTTTTACTCAATGAGCGGATACGCATGCTTGAGTCGTCGCCTTGTCGGCGCGTCCATCTCCGTGTAGTGTCCTCTCGGTACGTAGAGCTGGAAGCGGCGCCACGTCTTAATGTCGAGCACGTAAAACGTGTCAATGACCGAGAAAATGAGCATGCCATTCATAGTCGCCGACGCCTTGTCGAGGTAAAAGGTGCCCTGGAAAGTTGATGACGTTCGGGAGCATAAAGAGCGGGAAGCGGAGGATGTTGAAGAGAGCGAGGGACGTGAGCGCCGTGCCCACGTCCAGTGTGTTGCCG